TTAACCAAGTAAAGAAGCTAGAGTGCATTGTAATGACCAAATGATCCTAGACCATTGCACTCATTTGACCTGCAAAATGAACTCACCCAAGTTTCAAATTTGCTCATCAACTTCAAGTGAAGTCACCAATAACTTCACCTTAATTCATCATTTTTATTTAGAATTTCTTATGAGTTCTTTATATTTTTTCATAATTACATGTTAGATATGCCTATTCATTTTCAATAAATATGTGTTAAACATTATCATGCAGTTTCACATATATAAAGTTGTTCTTGTAGTACTGTACCCTTAGGGGTTAGAAGATGATTAGGTCAATAAGCCATAAAAGAATTATAAATATTTAAAAATTTATATCTCAACTTTTTACATTAAGCGATTATTTATTATTTTCTTTTTTATTAACATTTTAGTTTAAAAAAAAAGCTTAATTATAATATATTTTATAATAAACGAGCTTGCTCGAACTCGTAAAATGAAGCTTGAATCAAACTCGAACTCGATTAATTAATCGAACTCAAACTCAAGCTCAAGCTCAAGTCAAGGTTGACTCGAACTCAGCTCAAATCGACTCGTTTACAACCCTAGATTCCACCCCTACAATGATTGTACTAATATTAACGCAAATCCAAATACATCAAAGCCCATCCTCATGCAAAATGCATTCGGACATGCTTATGTATTTTTTTTTCTTCATTTGAATTTGATCTTTGCTATGAATAAAGAAAGTGTGCAAAGACTACTCAAATCTCTATTGAAGAGTTTGCTAACACTTTAAATATATTCTATTTACATATTTTACCCTTAAAAATTACTATGTGTATGATATAATACTCTATTACCTTATTCAAACATTCATAGCTTTTGAAACCCTCGACTAAGAAGAAAGAGAAGAAATCGTGACAAGTTCTCGCTCGAATGATCAATAAATGAGTACGTTGCTACGTGATCTTGTCTTAAGTGTATCGATGACACCGATGGCATATAAAGCACACAAAATTGGTGAAAAGTGGCTACGATATTTCGCTGAATAACTCATAAATTTTAAATGTTAAATATATAAATATGATAGTTTTAATATTAAATATGCGAGTCTCACTAAAAAAACAAATGCGCTGATTTTTTTTTTATAGAAACTCACAAAGAGACCTACACATAAACAAATGTGCTGATATATAAATTCGAAGTAATATGCTTATGAACATTCAGCTTAATGTTCTTAACAAGAAAAAAGAAAAAAATCATAGACATGACAAGCATATGTAAGAGCTCATGTCAGCATTTTGTCCTAAGTAAGACAAATGGACTACTATCATATATAGTTCTAAATTAAAATATTTATAAGTCCTTGAAAAATCCAACTTAATTTTTTCATCATGCCGGCTTAAAAAAAAAATTCACAACAGCACAAAATTAATAAAGAAATTAAGATACAAGAATTCTCACATTCTCTTAAATTAAAAAAAGAAAGATGGGATTATATGAGAACACTTGTCTAATTCCCGTTATAGGGATTATAAAAATCGATATTTACAACGAAATACACAAAGCCCAACAGTATGGTTAGATGTTAATAGTCAAGCAACAATAGTAAGATGATGGAAGTCTGACAATGGCGGCGATGACTATGCTAATTTTAGTCATATTAGTGGTGATCACAGAAAAGAGTAATTGAGTTATTCTCATCTCTTAAATCTCCTTAAAAATGGTCTATTATTTATAGCTTTTTGCGAGAGGCATTTTAGAAAATTTGGCCAAAATACAGAACACTCATTCAAGCAATCTATATTAATCATAATCATAGATCATTTATCGAGCATTTGAGTGGCATATGCAGTCAGAATCGAATAATCTCAAACTCATAAGATTTGTCTCAATATAATGCTCAATTTGACCTATGCACAAAATATTTATAGACCATTTGGTCTTTCAATTAATTTTCAAAAAGTTCTAAATAGACTTCAAGTAGTTAATTTGGGTTCATTTAAGTCATGATCGTATTATTTGTGGTAATAATGGATTCATCTTGTAAAAATATTTAATTTTAATATAAATTTATTGAAATCGGAGTTTAGATTATTTGTGCTGCATCCTGGAATATTCACGGCGATAAAGAAATATATAGTTTAACGTCTTAGCTTTGTATGAGATCCAACACAAATCAGATAAAAGAGAGGGTGTGACGTGCATAAGAGACACCAGAGTATTTACATGGAAATCCATGAAAAGGGGAAAAAACATGGGGCTTGACCCAATTTGAATGAATCTACTAGTGTTTGCAATCAATTACAAATGAGTACTCATTTCCTTGAGGGAAGGGCTTGGTTTTATATAATAAATATACATCATATAAAGTGCATTACATGGTGGGGATTGAAAGTATAAGTATTGACATGTTTGTTTAGTCGGAAAGACCATAGTCAACGAGAGATGGAGGTCGAAAAGATCGTAGTTGGGTAACGGTGGTCGGAAGGACCGTAGTCGACGAGCAACGGAGGTTGGAAGGATTGTTATCTGGAGACGGATGTCAGAAGGATTGTAGTCGATGCGCGACGAAGATCAGAAATATCTTAGTCTTTTGATAAAGGTCAGAAGGACCGTAGCCTAGCAACGTAGGTATGAAGGACCGTAGTCAGCAGGCGACATAGGTCGAAAATTCCGTTTTCTAGCAACGGAGGTCGGAAGGATCGTAGTCGGCAGACGACATTGTTTAAAAAGATCGTTGTCCAGCAACAAAGGTTGGAAGGATTGTAGTCGGTGGGCGATAGTAATCAGATAGATTGTTGTCTGGTGCAGAGGTCAGAAGGATCGTAGTTTAGCAATGGAGGTCAGAAGGATCATAGTTGGCAGGAGATTGTGGCAAAAAACATCGTTGTTTAGCAAAGAAGGTCAAAAGGATAGCAGTCTGGTGACGGAGGTCAGAAGGACCATAGCCTAACAACGTAGGTCGGAAAAATCATAGTCAGCAGGCGACAATGATCAGAAATACCATTGTCTAACGATGGAGGTCGAAAGGACCATAGTCTAGCGACAGAGCTCGGAAGGACTTTAGTCTGGCCATGAAGGTCGGAAGGACGATAGTCGGTGGGTGATAGTGGTCAGAAAGACCGATGCCTAGTGATGGAGGTCAGAAAGACACTAGTCTGGCGACGGAGGTCGGAAGGACTGTAGTCGGTGAGCGACAGTAGTCATAAAGGTCGTGTTTGGAGACGGAGGTTGGAAGGACCATATTCTGTCAATGGAGGTCGGAAGGACCATAGTCGGCGGGCGATAGTGATCTGAAAGACAGTTGTCTGACGACGTAGGTCAGAAGCACCGTGGTATGACGATGGAGGTCGGAAGGACTGTAGTCTGAAGACGGAGGTCAGAAGGACCATAGTTAGTGGGCGATAGTGGTTAGAAAGACCATTGCCTTATGACGGAGGTTGGAATGATCATAGTCTGGCAATGGAGGTCGGAAGAACCATATTCGACGAGCGATATTGGTCATAAAGATTGTTGTCTGGCGACGAAGGTTGAAAGGATTGTTATATGGCGACGGAGGTCGGAAGGACTGTAGTCAGATAGCATTAGTGGTCAGAAACATCGTAGTCTAGCGATAAAGGTCAGAAGAACTGTACTCTAGCGACGGAGATCGGAAAGACTATAGTATGATGATGGAGGTTGTAAGGACAGTAGTGAATGGGCGATATTGGTTAAAAAGATCGTTGACTAGCGACGAAGGTGAGAAAGATCATTGTCTGGCGATGAAGGTTGGAAGGATTGTAGTCGGCAAGTTATAGTGGTCATAAAGACCGTTGTCTGGCAAAGGAGGTTGGAAGGACCGTAGTCGGCGGGTAACAGTAGTTAGAAAGGCCATTGTTTGGCGACAGAGGTCAGAAGAACCAACAATAGTCGATGGCCAGACAAAATTTTGGCGATAATTGGTGGTCAGGTGGAATTCTGGCGTCAATCGGCAGCCGGGCTAAATTCCAACGACTGTCGGTGGTCTGACGGTGGTAAAGGAGTCTGGTGGCAAGATAACTCTAGTTTCTCTCTCTTCCTTCTCTTCTTTCCTTGGGTCCACTTCCATGAGGAATGAGGGATCTAATTATAATTTTTTGAGAGTGTCATGACCAGTAAATAGTTGACAGATCAAGGGTATGTTGGGAGTGGTTTGAATGGACGACCAATATTGATCTCTTGATCGTGGACCGTTTACTAGGCATTTGAATGTCTTAATGATATCAGAATTTGACGATTTTGGGTTCGTTGGAATCGTCTTCTCGAGTCGCTTGATTTGACTATAAGCATGACATGTTTGGGAATCATTTGGTCATCCAATTTATGGTTTGAACTTTCCAAAAATGCTTCAGGTCTTCGATTTGGACTCATTTGGGCTCAGATTCAATCGAATTTGGTGTCGTTGAGTGCCGTTGGGTTTGTATTTTCAAGATGTTCAGTTTGACTGTAAGTTTGCTAAAATCAAAGTTCATATGATACTGAATTTAATTTTAGAAGTTTCAAACTTATTTTTGCCTCGAGATTTGTGCCCGATCAAGATTATTTTTTAATGATATATCAATCTGAAAGTTTCTAATTGATATACTATCTCAAAATTTCTGCGGACTGTCGATTATTAACAAATCAATTACTTCTGCCATATCAGCAGAACGTAATGCTGTTCTTATTAATGCCTTTCTAAAAAAACAAAAGCATATCGGCAGAATTGCTGCGCTGTACGTACAGCAATTAAAATAATATCCAAGCTTTGATCATCTGCAAGCATCTGCACAAGGCTGAGTCAAATAGTCAATTACTCATTATATCCTAATAATCTTTACTATATTTTTTTCGTATATTTTAATTGATCAAAACTCATTCTTCTTTTGAGTCCAAAATAAGCATAAACAAACAAATCTTTTTACTGCATTAAGCATTTCTGTATCTTCCTATAAGTACCTCATTTTATTAAGCAAATAGCTGAAATTCTTCTCTTATTACTGAAGAACAAAGCAATAATGACCGGTAAGGTAGAGAGCGCAGATGAAGAAAATGGAGATATAGAGTCAGGCTATTTCTCAATTACAGCAACAGCTCAAGAAATTCAGAAATCAGATGAAGTTCATAAGGTTCCTTTGCCACAAAACAAGAGGACATTCAGAGCTTTGAAGCACTGGTCAGGAGAATGTTTCTTCCCTGATGATCCTCTTCACAACGTTAAGAAGCAGAAAACAGTAACTAAGAAGACGTTTATGGTTCTTCAGTACTTGTTTCCAGTCTTGATTTGGGGCTGTGATTACAGCCTTGAACTCCTCAAGTCTGATGCTATTGCTGGCCTCACTATTGCTAGCTTAGCAATCCCACAAGTAATTAAATTATAATTTCAATTGATTAAGCATTGGATTATCTCTATAATAACATTAATTAGCAAGAAAATACGGCCTATTATGTTAATTACATTACCTTTTACTAAATTGAATTGACTGTAATTTGCCCATGCAGGGAATAAGTTATGCAAAGCTTGCCTATCTTCCACCTATTTATGGACTTTGTGAGTTTTTTTCTTTGTGCAATTATTTCATTAGCTTTTTTTAAAAAAAAATTTATTAGCCTAAGAATAAATAAACATACATGCATGTATAAAATTATATATATATATATAGAGAGAGAGAGAGAGAGAGAGAGAGCGGATTAATTATTCTTTGCTGATGCCGAACGCCGTCCGGAGACCAATCAGGATGAATCACATCACCCCTTTGCTCAGTACCATGGCTCGATACCGCTGACGTGGCGCATTCTGGCTGGTCTCCGGACGGCGTTCTGCGTCTGGCCTCCGCACAGAATAATTTCGAGAGAGAGAGAGAGTATTTATTTTTGGAATATTTAGGCCAATTAAGATAAACTCACAAACACATCACATATGCAAGACTCGAATTTAAGACCTCTTAATTAGTAGCTAAACCTCCTAAACAACTGATCATGATGAGCTGTGTAAACGATAATTATATGGATAGTATCAAGATATTTTAACATCATTGAATGGGGGAATAAAATTTTTGGAATTTTACATTGGATTCATAAGTTTTTGTCCCATTTGATGCCACATAGTGGTTTTTTGCTGCATCAGCTTTTTTTTTTTTACAATAGAAACATCCAAATAAAGATCAGTCTCATGGATTTTAAGTTTTGTTTGATATATGAAACTTTAGCTTTTTAAAACCTTTTTTTCTTCTTATTATCTTAGAGTATA